CACAATGGTTTTCATGGATTTTGGATAATCATAAGAGGAATTTGATGATTTGAAGATCTCCATCTTATATCAATGAGCATTCTTACTCTCTATTCTCTTTATGCTTTCTTTAATTGCTTTGTTAATCATGTTTGAGTAGAATTACTTCTACTAGGTGTTGAGTGAATCTTTGTAATGGTTACTTGAGTAATTTGAGATAAATTTGATGATAATTGTGTGATTAAATTGATTAAATTAATGATGGCATGTTGTTTGTTTTAGATTGGTTTGATCTCCCATGATAGCAAACTTGGTTGCATATTAGTTCTTATTTGACAAGGGATTGTGAATTAGAATTTATATATTTGATTGAATTTTGGGTAAATTTCATCTATGCACTTAGTCAATGAGGGATCTAGGCTAGGAATTTGAGAGATTGCTCTTGAGTGTAATTAATTCCCATTTTAATTCTTTCTTTGCATGATTTATTATCAATTGGATTCTCATTAACTTGTTAATTATTCAAAGTGGATCTTTGCCCCTATTAGACTTTATAATGTCTTGGTCTTTATATGTGTGTAAGTGTAGTTGTAGTGTCCAATATCCATAAACCGAATTCGGCGTAGCTTAAGCATTAGATCGAGAACAATCTAACATTACCGTTCCTTGTGGTTCGACTCCGAACTTACCACTAGACTTTTTTAGGGGTTAGTTTAGGATTATAATAAATTTTTATTAGTCGTGAAGAGGTTAGTCAACGACCTAATTTCCCCGCGCTCAATTACATTTTTACATCACTCTTTGTTGATTTTTAACTTTTAATAGTACTTCTTTCAATTTTTATGTGAGTTTAATTGATATTTGCATGTTGCAATTACCCAATTTTACTCGCTTTAAAACCCTAGGTTTTAGATCTTGCTGAATTACTATTTCTTCAATTAAAATTCTTATTGGATTCGACAAGTTAAGTTTTTATTACAATATGAAAAAATTAATATTGGAAATTTTTGTTTATTAGAGTACAGAAAAAAAAAATCAAATTACTATTACTAGAGCAGAGTAGAATGGTTAATGGCATAGAGAATGTATCGTGGTGCTAAAAGAAACTCCTTGAAAGAAGAGCTTGCATCGAACTCAATGGTGAGATACTGATTGCTTTAATGTGTTTCTGGTTTTGAATGATTTTGATGATAATGTTATGAAGTTGTTGGCAGGGCAATGCAGTTGGATGCTAATTAAGTACAGCTGATATTGACGGAGTATACTGGTCCTCAGTACAAAATAATGAGATAGATTATATTGGTCATCAGTATGAAATAGAGATACGAGCTACGGTAAATTTTACTCAAAACATGGGAATTATTAATCCATTATAGCTAGAAAAGTAATGAGCTTTTGTTTTGCTTACTGTTGTTTTTCAAATATTTGTATTTTATCAAGTTCTTAATTATCCTTACAATTGAGTGATATGATGGTATTGTATTTGCATCATGTTGCTGTCAACTTTTGGTACTATTGATTGGTAATATTTGTATTTTATCAAGTTCTTAATCCTTGCACTTGATAGTTTGTTAATGCATTTCTTGTTCCAATGTATTTTTACCATTATAAAATGCATCAACTACATATACTACATTCATTTATTCTATGGAAATTTTCATAAGTAGAAAAGGAAGAGAATGGAGGATATAAACCTCTTTATATCTGTCTAATATGTAACTGTTTTTCACATAAGTTATATTTTCTTTCTTCATTCCTTATTCTTAAATTTTCAAAGGCAAGACAGAGTCTACACTTTTGTTTATCAATTTCTCTAAATACTACATCATGCCATCTTGCTGATGTGATCCTCAGAACTTATCAGGTTCTTAAAATTCTGCTCATTTTTCTCTCTTATTCCCTTTTTCTATTTTTTGTCTTTTTAGTTTTAGCATAGGGGTGTGTTCTTGATTGTTTGGTTTGTGCCTTGGTTGAGAAAATAGCCTCACTCTCAGCATCGATCTGATATTGGTGTTTATTAGATTTGCTTATAAGTTGCTTTAATACTTTGGCAGCTGGTCTCGCCCTTAAGGTGGATGAGAAAATTCTTAAGAATCCATATATAAGGAAGGAGCTCGGTACTCATTTCCTTATTATATGTTTCTATCTGTCTCTCTCTCCCTTATATTTTCATTGAATTTTATTTGTGCTTTCCTAAAGTACATAAGCTGTCCAAACTCTAATAGTTATGAAGGTTTGCATCATATTATTTCCTTTTCTAGTAATTCCTTTAGTCTTTTACATCTTTAGCATCTAAAAAAGTAGAATGAAGAATTTGAAAATCATACTAGTTGTTTTAAGACATGATTTGGGAAAGCACAAGTTGAGCAAGATTTCTTCATGAATATGTATTCAGATATCTAATTTACTTGTGATTTATAGTCATGCCTCCAATATGGTGCAGGGATAGGCCTTGGTTTGGTAATCCTAAAATGATTTCAGGATCTTGTGATTGTAATATCTGTAAATCATTTTTTTTGCAGTGCTTATAATTCAAACTAAGAGAGATACCCAAGCCTTCTACATTGCGTAGCTAGGCTGTGGGCTTTGTTAGCTTGGATTCTGCCTACTTTAATACAAATTACTAGATCTACTTTTTCTGCTACTATTTTAATGTCTTCAGCAATGTTCTTTAGCTTTTCCTTGGATGCTGCTGTGTTGATTAGAGGTTGGACCATGTCTTGTGAGTTTGATTTGATAATAATATTGGAGAAATTCATGGAGACTTCTTTGAGTGCTCTGAACCACTTAAATGATTGTTCTCTCTAAGAATTTTTTATTTATTTAATTATTTTAGTCCATGTTTCTCTTGATTTATTCTATTTCTTATGCCTTGAGTTGGAAAACTTGAAAATAGACTCTGAACTGGTTGTATTTTTGTAGATTTGTGTTTGTTTAATTTGGACCTTTTCGATACCTTGTTTGTGATAGATACTTACTAAATCTTTTGAACAAAAAAGTATAAATTTAAATAAATTTAGTTTCTATTACCATAATGGTTATCTGAATACTTCTAGTTTGGCACCTAGGTTAAGTTAGCCAGGAGTTAAACGTCAAATCAATTTTAAAGTGGTGCTTAGCCTTACCTTTACAATTGCAATGAGACTATTCCTACTTTTCACATTCTATTAATGATTCATACTTTGCAATTATTCATTCCGAAATCTGCTTGGAATGCATATCCATGCCTCTTCTTTTTAGATTACTGTTACACCATCATTGATCGCTGGTGTTGCATCCTGCATATACTCCTGATTTTCCAAGCATAATCAGTCTTGTTATTTCCTTGTTTACAGGTCCATAATTCTCAATATATACCAACAAAATAAATTATGTTTGTCCTATAAGACTCGTAACATTAAGTATGCCTCTTATGTTTTTGCAGGAAGTGAGTCCTAGTAAATTGTATGAAGGGTATGGACTATGGAGTTAGTTTCTTGTTCAATGTCGATTACCCATGCATGCAGAAGATGTTCGTCGTGCACACATTTTTCTAGCAGAGAACAAATCAACTGTAGGGCATTGCATCTGCTCTGCTAGACAAATCAACTAGTGTTGTTGATCTCCTCGAAGTTTCTCAAAAACAATTTTTTTTTGGGCATTATCTTTTATATGCTTGCTGGACGCTGCTATTGCTTACTACTAGTCCTTGACGCTGTTGTATTTTACATATACTCCTAACCTTGAACCATTGTAAATTCTTGAAGGCTTGAAGCATTATAATTTTTTTTTTTGATGAACTAGAATTGTAAAATTACCGGCATTTATAAATGAAAAAATTTATGATTATATGAGTGAATGTTTGTATATAATTAAGGTATAAACTAAAAATAATAAAAAAAAAAACTATTAGGCTTTATAAGCAGTTGTTATAGTAAAATTCACGACGCTTTTTTGTGTAGAAACTTGTGTGTAAATCAAATATTTCAACAGGAAAAACTAGATGCAAGAGAGCGTCAAGAGATATAGCGGCACAAAAAAGCATCGCCAACCATTCAAGATATCAACGCTTCGTATAAAAATGTGGAATGAAAAAAGTGACAGGAATCTCGACGCTTTTTGGAGTCAAAGAGAATTCTCGACTCACGTTTTTTCTACGCTTTTATAAAGCGTCGAGAAAAAAAATTAGACGCTTTTAGGCGTCCAAAATCAGCCTTAAAAGTGTCGAAAAAACAAGGAAATTCTAGTAGTCTTCGCTAAATATCATCCCGAGGCTATTGAACCCACCAAATATGGCATTTTCTAAACATGTTGAAAGTGGGTTCAACATCCCAAAATAATGATAGCACCACAATGAACCTACCAAGTTCAAACTTTCTTCAAATTTTAGCACAATTTCCCCTATCTTACCTTACAAAAATTTCTTACCCTTTTACCTTAATATCCGATAAAATCGAACATAATTACAACTAAAGCCGCGAAACACCTTCCCATTGGTCATGCTCATTTGGATTAATCCAATTCCATGAATTCACCCTATAAATCCAAAAGAAAAACAAGTGAAATAAAAGAAAGAAAATTAAGAAAAAGAAATCAAAAGAAAAGGTTAGAAATCTCCGGGTTGCCTCCCGGGAAGCGCTTGCTTATGGTCAAAGAACACCACCTTCTTCAAAGTGGTGGAAGGCACAAATTCCTCTTCAATAATTAGCAACTTCTCATTGGTTCTTGACAAAACTTCGTTTGATTGGACTTCTAAATTAAAGCAAGCCTCTCTTGCTTCAACTTCATTCTCATTCTCTTCTTCCTAGAAGCTCTCGCTTTCTTCTTAACCTTGTTCCTTTTTGTAGACAGTTTCACACCATCCACATCCATGGAATCATCCTCCTCCTCTTGAGGGCAAAGCTCAAACCAATGCAGAATGTCAATTACCTCTTCGTCCATAGCCTTTGAAAGCTCCTTTTTCTCTTCACTAACTTTCATGCAATCAAATCTCACAAGCACATCATCAAAGATCTCATGAACATCGTTAGTCAAAGAATTAATCACAAAACATTATCAATAGAGCGAGGGGAATTAACACACATGATTCCTTTCACAATGGACAAAGACTCATGCATCGGTTTTAACTCAAAACTTTCCTCATTATTACCAACTCCCAAAGTAATACGACCTCCCTTAACATCTATCAAAGCTCCCGAAGTAGCTAAAAAGGGTCTCCCTAAAATGATAGGAATATGGTCATCTTCCGCAATCTCTAGCACAATGAAATCAACGGGGATAGTGAAATCTCCTATCTTGAGGGGGACATCCTCAACTCTACCTTTTGGAAACTTAATAGAACTATCAGACAATTGAAGGGTCATGTTGGATGGAAGGAGCTCACCTATCTTAAGTCTCTTGAAGACAGAATAAAGCATGATGCTAACACTAGCACCAAGATCACAAAGGGCATTTTGGAATAATTTACCATTAATATTGCAAGGGATGGAGAAATTCCCCGGTTCTTTCATCTTAGGGAGCAAGTCATCATGGATAAAGGCACTACAACACTCCCCCAAACCCACCTGCTCAACAACATTGCAATCTCTCTTGCCGCTCAAAATTTCCTTAAGAAACTTATAATAGTTAAGCATTTGTTCCAAGACTTCGGTGAAAGGAATAGAAAGATGAATTTCCTTAAGCATCTCGATGAATTTTCCAAATTGTTCATCCAATTTGTGCCTATTGAACTTTTGGGGGTAAGGAAATTTGGGTTTGTAGACTTCTTTTTCTTTCTCTTTCACTTTCTCAACATGTTCCTTAGCAACTTCCTCATCCAAAGGGCTCTCATCTCCCTCATTCTCAATTGGACTCTATTTCGCATCATTCTTCTTAGACACCTCACTCTCAAGGACCATACCACTCCTAGTGGTGATAGAACAAACCGGTTCCTTAAGATCAATTCCTTGTGAAGGTAAAGAAGAAAGGGTAGCATTCTCTTTCGAGGTGTTGGCTAGTTGAAAGATTTGGGTCTCAAGCATCTTTCCATGAGTTAACATGTCATGAAACATTTTGTTACTAGACGATATGTAATCATTCAATTTGTTGGCTTTATCTACCATGACATTCTCTAACCTACTCATAGAATGAGAGAGTTGATCATAGGAATTATCACCTTGCCCTTGGATCTGTGGAGTAAATTCGGGTGGGGGACCTCTTTGAGCATTGTTTTGAAAATTTCCCCTACTTTGATTACTCCAATTACCCCTACCATGATTTTGGCCAAAATATCAATTATGGTTACCATAACCTTGTTATGATCCCCGTATACTTGGGCGTGACTTTGATCATTATAACCATAGTTGTGATGGTTACCACAAAACCCTTGTGTTACTTGGTTCCTATAACCACTATTTTGGTTATAACTATCATAGCTCTCATGGTTGTGATAATTCCTATTCTCAACATTCTTTTGAACATTGAATCTAGGTCCAAAATCATTATTATCAACATAATTCACATGCTCATTCTCATTTCCATCATATTCGTCACATCCATAAATAGGAACATTAGGGAAATTAGAAGCATCATGATCATTCTTTCCACATAAATCACAAACTAAACATTTTATAATCATGCAACAAGAAGCAAAAAGAGGGTTAGAGTAAGAAGATGTATCGCTCCCTAAAAATTGGGAGGGGAGAATTTGTGCTTGTGAAGAAGCATTCTCAAGCTTAGCCTTGATGGAAACCACCTCCTTCCCTAAGTTCGAAAGTAGTGTGGAAAAATTGTTGATAGCGTTGAGTTGATCAATCGAGCCATTTTCTCTTGTCGTCTCTATCTCAATTTCTTGCCAATCCATGTAGTTCCTCACTACATCATCTATCACATTCACAACCTCTTCCACCGTCTTGTTCATGATTGGGCCTCCGGCTCCGGCATCAAGACTAGACCTCCCTTGAGGACTCAAACCACCATAAAAGATTTGAATAATTTGGTAAGTTGAAATTACATGGCGAGGACACTCTCTTTGATAATCCTTGTACCTCTCCCATGCTTCATAGAGGCTTTCACTAGTCCTTTGCTTGAAACTTTGAATCAAAGCTCTAGTCTCCGCCGTTTTCTTTTGAGGGAAGAAACGGGAAAGAAATTCCTTGGTGAATTAATCCCAAGTTCTCAAGGAATAAGGCTTCACTTCCTTATCAAGCCATTCTTGAGCTCTTCCAATTAGAGAAAAGGGAAATAGTTTAAGCCTTATGAATTCTTGAGCAACCCCGTTTACCTTAATTGTGTTGCAATATTTCTCGAACTCCTTTAGATGATTGAGGGGGCTTTCATTTGTTCCTCCACTATATTTTCTTCTTTCAATCAAATTTATCATTGCCGTCTTGATTTCAAAATCGCTATCCGGGATTAATAATGGAGCGATCCCGCTCTCATACTTGTATGCACCCGGAGTGCCCAACTCCTTCAATGTAAGCCTTGGGGCTTCTCCCATGTTAACTTGCACACATAAACTCAAAAGAAATTATTAGTAGCATGACTACAAATGTAGCCTAAAGGAGAAACATATTTTTGTATTTTTGAATTTAGATGAAATAGACTCAACAACAATAGCAAACAACTATGCTATTCCCCGACAACGACGCCATTTTGACGAAGGGGTGAACAAGGTCATTGAAACTAATCCTCCCTCGGTCAAACAAAATTTGTAATCACTCAACACACCCTTATAACTAGCATATAAGTCGAGGGTCGAACCATTAGGAATGGGAGGTGGTCACTATCGCTAGAGTTAAGCTATTTCGAAGAAGTGAATTAAGGTGAGTGTACTCTAAAACAACTAAGAAAACGAGATCAAAATCGAATATATCAAACACTAGGGTTTAGGATCCACATATATGTGCAATGGATACAACTAATTGGGATTGGAATTGACTAAGTCGAGTGTTGCGAGGGAAAATCAATTAAGCAATTAAGAGAGTATGATAGGCTATTCTCCTAGAGATCAAACTAACGTCAACTACGAGAGACTCTAGCTAGGAACTTCACAAACCAACTCCATCGAAAAATGCAAGCCACAAATCAATTGTCCGTATCAATGTGAACTTACAATGTAATCTAGTGCAACGATCAAAGCTAGCTACTCTTCAATCAATCACACACATGCACATAATCAATCAACCAATTTAATCACTACATCAACTCCATCAATTTCCCCCAATTAGCATCAATCCATTACTCATATATGATTCACCAATCCCCTAACAAGAAAACTACTCACAATCCATGGAAATCAAGATCAAAAGTAAGCTAAACAACAAATTCATCATCATCATATTAATCAAACTAATTCAATCACAAACCAATCAAACTTAAACAATCAACAAAACAATTGAAATCAAAAGCTAAAGATTGCATTTAAGTAAAAGAAATACTTACAAACACTACGTGAAAAAATGAATTTGGCACCGGTTCAAACCCGGCCTAAGGCACCGGTTTGAACCGGTTCCAATGTGGGGGTGCCAAAAAGGGGTTTAAAAAGGCACCGGTTCAAACCGGTGCCAAAAAAGCCCACAATTTTTTTTTTTTTTTTTGTCATTTTTCACTTAAAAATCAAATTGACTAAAATAAACAAGAACAAAAACATATTAATCGAATATCATTGAATATAACCAAAAATTTACAGTATATAATCAAGAAAAAAATTACAATATACGAATTATAAAATTAAACAATTACCACATATAAATAAATAAAAAAGAACTACAATATAAATCAAAAAAAAATATTACAACATCACAATAAAAAAAAAACCCCAAACATCTAAATCAATATTCTTGATTCTTGATTCTTAATTCTTGATTCTTCGATTATGTGCAATATTTTGGGCTTGCAAAGCAAATAGTATACCTACGCCAATTAGTTCATCCAAAAAAATCAATTAAAATGTATTAGCTGCGAAAATTAGTTAAAAACCCAGAAAATTAAAAAAAAATCGAAAAAATTAAAATCGAGAAAAAATTAAAACCCAGAAAATTATAAAAAAAATCAAAAATAAAATTAAAATCGAAAATTAGTTTAAAACCCAGAAAATTAAAAAAAAAATCAAAAAAATTAAAATCGAAAAAAATAAAAACCCATGGTAACGAAAAAATTAAAATCGAAAATTAGTTGAAAATCCAGAAAATCCAGAAAATGAAGAAAAAATTAAATTAAAACCCAGAAAATCGAAAAAAATTAAAATCGAAAAAATTTAAAACCCACAAAAATTAAAAAAAATCAAAAAAATTAAAATCGAAAAAAATAAAAACCCATGGTTACGAAAAAATTAAAATCGAGAATTAGTTGAAAATCCAAAAAATCCAGAAAATGAAGAAAAAATTAAATTAAAACCTAGAAAATCGAAAAAATTTAAAACCCAGAAAATTAAAAAAAAATAAAAAAATTAAAATCGAAAATTTGTTAAGAACCCGGAAAATTAAAAAAAACGAAAAAATACCCAGAAATCGAAAAACAAATAATAATCGAAAAATGAATCAAAATCGAAAAACAATAATAATACCCAGAAATCGAAAAACAAATAGCCAGAAATGAAATAGAAAAACAAATACCCAAAAATGAAATCGAAAAACAAATACCCAGAATTCGAAGAAAAATAAATCAAAATCGAAAAAAAAAAACCTATTAAATTCGAATAAAAAAGAAACCAGAAATCAAAAATAATAATCAAAATAAAATAAAAATCTATCAAAGTTGAAATCGAATAAAAAAAACCCCCCAGAAATCGTAAAAAAAATGAAATCGAAAAAAAATACCAAGAAATCGATTGAAAGAAAGCAGGACGGTGTTGCACGTTGGAATTCTTCGAATGCAAGAAGGGAGGAGGACACCAGGGAGAAGGAGATGAGGGAAGAGAAATAGAAGGAGGAGAAGGAGATCGAGAAAGAGGAAGAGAGGAGGAGAGAGAAAGAGAAACGGCTGAGAGGAGGGGAGATGAGTGAATATGTTAGGGTTGGGGGGGTTTCAATGGGCCGGTTTTTTAAAAAAAATATTTAATGGCTCCGGTTCAAAAAGGCACCGGTTCAAACCAGTGGCCTTTATGTTTTGGCACCGGTTTGAAGTGAACCGGTGCCTTTTACTCTAGTTTAGCTTCCCACCAATTTTGTAGGCCATTTTTGGCACCGGTTTGGACTGAACTGGTGCCAATTAGGGGGTGCAATTTTGATATTTTCTACTAGTGAAACTTGCTTCAAATCAATGGAGAAAATGCTTAGAATCATCAATCTTCAATCATCAATCAAGAATTTCACTCTCTACAAACTAGAGTTTTTCTCTCTTCAAAATGATCTAAAATTCCTACTCTAATTCTCTTCTCTCTCTAAAAATAGAAGGAAAGTCTATATATAGTAAAACTAACAAAGAGAAATTAGTCATATCGTACAAAATAGACCCGTACAAGCGCGACCATCTTCAAGGGAGAGAGCGGCCGCGCAAAACTGGGTACGGAACAGAGACTCTAAGAGGCACGGTCGTGCCTTGGTCGCGTGCGCCCGCGCCTGGGAAAAGGGTAGCCTCCTACACCTTCGACCTTGCTCTTCCTCGTGCACTCCACTTGATGATGTTGATGAGCAAGGAAGAAGGTAGTCTTCAAATAGCCTCCACAGTGGGTTCAACACCAAGAATGGTGTACCCACCACTTGCATGCACGAGCTAGAAGACTTGGACTTTACACTCCTTCAAACTTGAACTTCAAATGGTAGGCAAGAGGCATCTCAAACGATGTAAAACTTGGAAGGAGACTCGGGAATCCTCGGATTATGATCATAACCTGAAAAATGAATGAAAACAAGCAAATAAAAGAGAAAATAACAAAATAAACCAAGAAATGCATAAAAATAGAAAATCAACTAAGAAAATGCAAACTAAGGAATTAAAGAGTAAAACTAAGGAAAAACTAGAGAAAAGAGCTATAAAATAGCATAAATTTCACCTTAAGGAGGATCAAATGAGTGCCAAAAATGACACTCATCAGAATCTAACAAGATCTCAAATGACTATATTTTTGCATAGCAATAAATCATCAAAACTAGTCAAGTGTAACACATGAATACTGTAAAATTCAAACTATTGCAACTATAATAAAATAAAATTAAAATAAAATAAAATAAAATAAAAACTGAGAAAGTATATGTTATCATTTCTCTCTCTGACTTTAAACCCTGCTAAAACTATTTTATCATTTCTCTCTCTCCCATGGTCCCCACGTAATAAAGTATTCATCTACTTAGAATATTATATTACTCTCCTAAAACTCCGCACATCACATGCATATTAAAACAATGGATGGAGTATGACCCAAGGAGGTTTACCAACAATCAAATGGAGGTCGAGATGCAAAATCAGTGGCGCTAGAGGTGGTGTCGGTGACGGTGAATACACTAGAGGCGGCGGTGGAGTCGGTGGAACCATGACTTTTCAAATTTCACTAACTTGAACCTTAGATTTCCAGTTAACCACAAATTGAAGTGTATTGCAGCATAGAAAAACGAAAACGAAGGAAAACCCTATAATATCAAAGCCGATATGCGTGATATAAAAAACAAGATATGAAAAATCTTGTTAAATTTCCAACCCTTTGGTAATCAACCCTTTAAACTAGAGAGGGGTTAAGATGAAGGGGTTGCTTCAGAGGAGGAGCAATCATTGGCGGAGGCTGCCCATCACGGTTGTGGTTGATATCTACTAACATTTAAGAAATTTCTAACTATAAATTAATTAAAATGTTAACCAAGTTAAATTCAAAATACATTACAAACAATTACGTACACAAATTAGTTGACCATGGCAATCACACACATAAATATTACTCTGTATGTACATGTTTGGATCACTTTTATTGGCATATTTGATGATACATAAATTAAATTAGGTCTAGAAATTTTTTTTATTGTTTGTTAGTAGAAATATTAAATTATGAATGTAGATGTTGTAATCCATTGATATTACATAATTACATTTAATCATATAATAGTAAAAAAAAAATCATCAAAGAGAGTATATAATTAATATGAATAATGTATACGTAAAAGTAACAAAAAATACTAAAAAATTGAGGGACTATATGCGTATATAACAATTCATGATGACTCTTCTGCACAGAGTTTGATAGTCGTGTATAACCTTAGCTCTTCATCCCTTGTAATTCATACCCCCATCCTCTTCATCAACATAATTTTTCATAATATCAATACCTTGAGTCAGTGTAAATAAAATCTTAACATAAATGCAAATGTTTTTTTGTTTGACAAAAATTAGGTGATTAGCAATTACGCATCACATTTAATTTTGCGGCTTCATTTGATTTATATGTATATGATAACAACTTTACAAGGTAACCTAAAAGGTCATCTATATATGGGCTATATTGATACAGTATTATTCTACCATACATGAATTTGCCTATGAATCTATGATTAATCCAGGTCAATCTTTGAT